CAGTTGGAACGTGAGGAGAGAGTAGCGGGGCAGACACCCGACCAGTCAACACAGGTTACTTCACTTCGATAAGCTTTCGCTGTTTTGGCGTGGCGCAAGCTGCTTGCTGCCGCCTGAAAATTTGATTTCTTTTAATCTTATGCGCACAATTTACTCCTCAAAAAAGCAGCTTGTTCTTCGAAATTTAGAGCTTTCGGTGTTTTAAATTAGCTGTGATTCCGGCTTAGTCTGTCAGTGAAAGTTCTTCTTCCTAAATTACATTCTGTGAATAGCATTTTGCCAACAGCAACTACTCTCTGCAGATACGTCGACGACTCCCTCATCCGAGGTAGGCTGTGCTAAAAAGTAAGCTGAAAATGCTGCATGCTCTGCTCTTCGTTTATCATTAAAATGATTCAAAAGATTTTTGAAATATCGGTTGTTTCACTGACAAAATGGAAGCAACAGCTAGAGCCTGAGCATGAAAGTCACAAATTGTCAGTTAAGTGCATCCTGTGTTTCACTCACTGCTTTTTAGTACTGAGCGAATCAAGTATGTGTCTCCGAAAGTAATGATCGCTTTTCAATGCTGTTACACGCTTGCAGCGTTTTCGATGGCACTTTTTTTCCAGTGATTGCTGGAAAAAGGCTGATAGTGGCCGGACGCATTTGTGTGCTAGCTTCCGTTCACAGCCGAAGAATCAGCAGCTCTGAAAGAGGCCCACTATCCATACTTGTTTTCAGGTTGTTCATGCGGAAAGTGGTGTCACGCAGATGACAAAGGAGATATCCAAACGAGACTGAGATGAAGTGGCAGGAACTTCGTTTCGTACATATCCCACACTGCAACACATATAGTTTGCACCGGGCATCAGGTATACCTCTATGAATTCATTCCTCTGAGGAATTTGATCCTAGTTTTGCTCATCTTTCGATGTGTGTAGTACGAATAAACGCCCTGACGCTGTGTGCAGGACATTCCAGACCTGCGCTTTTCCCTCACTCAACATGTGCCCTGTGGTTCTTTTTGGTTCTGAAACAGCGATCGGATCTGCACGACCTCTTCATTGTCCATGTTGGTAGTGATTTGCATCACTCAAAATTAGCGGGACATAATCTGTTTAAAGTCTCTACGATTTCCTTTTGATTGCCTCAGGACGTTTCAGAGCTACCAAAATTGCCGCTTTTACGAAGCTACGATGAGTGAAGATTTCGTAAGGCCGTTTAGAAATCCTTTTCAAATAAGTGACATCGAAACTGTTTACCCATATTTCCAGCTGGGCAATAGTTTTACTAACTGTGGTAGGTTCAACTGCACGTTTTGGAAAGCTGTTGCATTTTTAGCACAGATCTAAAAATTTGTTGTGGTTTTCGCAGGGCACACTTTAT